GGTATCGTGCTGAATACCGCATGCGAAGGCGGGCGGTGAATTTCCTTTCTGATGTCAAAAAGGATTGGTCATCCCTGCATTGCTCTGGGCGTAAACACGTTTTTTATTAATAGGATTAAATGCGGCTAACTTTCCAAACTGAACTCTGAAACCTGTGGGGAGATCTTCCACAAAACTCTCCTAGGGGTTAGGAATATTTCCTTTTATCCGAGCTAATGAATAATACACATTACCAGCGTTTAAAAAGAGGATGAATGATACTCACGAGTACTGGTTGGACTCGCTTCTTCCAATATCAGGGCAGTTGATTTTCTGGCGAAGTATTCGTATGATGCAGATGAATAGAATAAAGTTCATCTGTGGAGATATTAGGACAAGGGAGTATTTCACAATGTGTTAAGTGCTGAAAATATCAGATAATGGGAACATTCACTCATGGTAAAATCGACCAGTTAAGCCCCAAGCCTGTTTTTCATGGCTCAGGCTCGAAAATGACATTCCCAGAACAATTGACCATAACTTCACCTCTAAAAGGGGTGAATTCATAATCTTTTTTCTCAAAGCAATGATAAACCTGTGAGTTGGATGTAGAGAAGTCAGAATCAATATAGATTTTTTTTATTTTAAAGTAAATTCAGATTGAACATAGTAAAGAACTGTAAATTATAGTGTCCGTCCAAAACATTACTTATTGTGAAAACCACCCTTGAATGATGGGATAGGAGACTAAAAGCTTCAGGAATCCAAACTACAACATATAATAAGTACCCTGTATCAAGATTGATGCAAAACAAGTGACATTTGACCTTTTTAGAGAGATTCAGAAAAAAAAAACACTTCTGGGGTCATTTGGGTTCATTTTCCATATCTCTGGAACCCATTGGTCGATTTTGATGATTGACACCTCTTTTGAACCGTTAGAGCCAATAGAATCGAGGGGAAGTTCCTAAAATCCATCTAAACATTACCCATTGAGGAGTGAGAGTGATACGCACGCAGTTTGCCCAAAACTGGAAGCTGGGTTGTAGCTCTCATAGCAGCTAATAGCAGCTGAAATCTCCGTTTTTGACAAAAATGGAATGATGGGTTATCAGGAATCGTTTCAAAGTGACACAGACACATTGGATTAACCTTCAGCAGCGTTTCTATCGTTTCAATGCCATTGAACACAACTTTTGATCAGAAACACAGCAAAGGTAAGACATATTTGCCGTTTTGGCTCCGTAAAGCTACGTTGTGTGTTGTCTGGGTTTGCCTTCGCTGCCCTGAGTTTTGTGCAGAGAGCAGATCCGATAAGTAATACAATATTTCTACCGTGAGTTCTGTGCTAATTCAGAGGCTTGGTATTACCCTTGTGTTTCGTTTAGCTAAAAATGGTTAATAGTGTCTGATAGCTGAGTTTCTTCCTGTTAAGTGGGTATGACACATTCATAGCTTGTTAAATGTTAAGAAGCCCTCAGACGCTGTTTCAAGGTTCTTTATTTGTCATACCAACATAGCTACAGAGTAGTTATGTCGATGAAAATCTTAGGTCACAGGCTTCTCCAACAGCGCAACATGTTGCGTTCTGCCCCCGGTACCATGCTTTGGTAGAAAAACTACCAATTAGGCTGAAACAAAAATCATTCGATAAAGCAGTTGGCAGGAGATGCAGATTATTTACTCTAAGTAATTTTGCTTTTCCCTTCTGTAGCTCCTCAAGTGCTGTTTGGTGAACTCATCTTAACCCTCCTTTTCACACCTCTTTGAAAGTGTCACACACACACACACACACACACACACACACACACACACACACACACACACACACACACACACACACACACACACACACACACACACACACACACACACACACACACACACACACACACACACACACACACACACACACACACACAGTTTTTCTAACTAGATAAGTGGATCGATCTGTGGATCAAAGCTACAGCCAGAAACCAATTTCTTTACTGCAGCTTCACAAATAATTAAAATAGGGGCAGGCGGCTAACCTGGTTCTGTCCTAAAGTTAAGAAATCTAATCACTAGCAACCCTTAATGTATATCTCTGAATAAATGACATATAACATGTTAAATAGTGAGATTTGGAGGTTTTTCGAATCAATTTGATTGATCCAAAATAGGTATTTCATGTAGCTTTGAATCTAAATCTATGTTTGGTTTGTTAATTTAATGTCAAACTTTATTTCCACCATGTTCATTAAAAACATTCCTCTTTTCAACCTCTGTTTCAAATGTTTCTGTAGATGCTGATGAAGACGCTGAGAAATATCCGCTGATTGATCCTGAGTCAACCGTCCAAAGGGAAATGAGAAATTTGAGACACACCAAACTCTCAAGACGTTACTAAAATGGACTTCGACTCGCAGAAGGAATATAAATGAGAATAAGAATAATTACACTGCCAGGTAAGTCTGAGATAAAAACTGATAAATGTGTTTGCTCTCTCAGTGGCAATTAGTTATACTGTGACAGTGTCAACAGCTCAAGTACGTTTAAAAAGACATTTGCTCAAAGCTTGTGAACTCACCAAGATTGACGCCAAAATCGGGGTTTTAATGATCCACCAGAAGACATCAGTGTTCTCGATTATATCCCAGCACCTGATCAGATGACATTAAATGACTTTATTATTGTCATTGCACAAAATGCAAACTCTGAGACAGGAACATGCAGTTAGCATCTAAGCAGAAAGTGCAAAAGAAAGAGTAAAATGAAGTTTAATAGCATAAGTATATAATATGACAGATATAAAAAAGCTACAGCAGTGGCGAGCCGTCAAGGCCCTGTGAGGGCCTAAGATATTATAAAAAATCATATTTAAAAACATTAAAAACATTTTTTTTAAATATATATTTTTGTTATATTATTTTTGTTATATTTTTCATTAGTTTTACTGAAAAAAACTTGATTTAATTGTATTTAAAATATAATTTGCAAATAAATAAATCCTTTGAATCTGCCTGTTCAGTCTCTGTTTGAATGTGAAGGGTTACATGAAAGAAGCTCGTCTGGCCCTCTCTGCGATTCACAGAGGGCCCGCTATAGTAACTGAACGAGAGAGTAATGTCAAATGACAGTACAATTGACCAATCATATCTTCCCTCGCGGACTTAATGACAAGTTCCGCCCGCTGTGAAACTTTTTTCTTGTTTCCATAGCAACAACAACTTCCTGTCAACAGCGTGAACTCGCCTTCAAAATAAAAGCATGCCGAATTACACTTAAGACATACAACTGCAACGAGAGTAACAAACACAATGCAATATTATTTTCAATGTCAAAGAACACAAATTGGGTTCACAGGTGTTGTTTTGTGTGGTAGAGGGTCGCTTTCATTTATGCCTTTTGCACCCCGGGCCGTTGTTTTGATATTCCGCTGAAGTATACGCTGCGACGTAATAACTATTTTTTTTTTCTTCATTTCGAGGAGGGAAGGGGTGGGGGTCAGAGGGCCTAGGTATAAAGCTCGGCTCGCCACTGAGCTACAAAGTATTATGAGTATATAAACAGTGGTTAAGAAATGAAACACACTATAGAGCTTGTATTAATAAACACAGTATAATAGAGACAGAAAATATTAAACAAAAGGGATGATTATTGATACGTTGTATAAAAAATACAAACAAATATGAGCATGCTATTGAACAATTTGCAGGGATAAAGCGATATTAATTCCCGAGATAAACTCAAAGCCGTCTCAGATGTGTTTCTCTTACCCCACGTCGTTAAAGTAGGCTTTGAGGATGCTCCACGCTGTGATGAAGACCATCGGCCCTCCTAGGGACATAAAAGAAGGATTTAAGAGTGTCTCACCCCCAGGGGGACAGACGTATTGAAGGCATATGAGGAAAGTTTTGTGTGACAAATATGGTTTCCAAATCTGTTAGTAAACAACTCGAATTTGTAGCTGTGAATGTCGAAGTA